ATTTTGATTTATTATGCAGACAGGAGTTTGATTTTACAAACGATAAAGAAATATTATATAATTTCTTACAGAAATAATTTTATTAACAAAACTATTCGTCATCTGATTCGTATAATGTAGTTCCATCCTGTCTAATACTGTGACTTCACCATAAGTGAGATATTAGATTCAAAGTTGATCCCCCCACAACTCTAATTTGTACATCACATTTTTTACCCAACTCATTCAATACGATACAAGTGCCATATGTAATATGATTAGATCTTTCTTCTGTAACTTTTTTTAATTCGAAATACTTCCATACCCAGCTTCGTTTTTTTGATTCACCTATGCGTCCTAATCTTTCAGATGTTTCATTTTCGTTTACATCATTTGCACCTTCTAATAACGGACTATTAGGTTGGTCAGTAAATGGCTCATCGAACGACTGGACCTGTGGAGATGGTAAACTGCCTTCTTCCATAATTTATATATAAAACCAGGGTTTGGCTTTATTAAAAAATTAATGAGGCACAAGATTAAATATATGTTTATAATATTTAGATTTATAATATTAGGTTAAACGATGATATGAAATACAGCACAAGCGATGGCAACAAAAAGGCTCTTTATATTTCTTTTACATAATAGCAGTTCTTGATATCTTTTCGATACTTGTTATCATTATCTTTTCTCTATTCTATATGAATTAGGGAAATGATAAGATTATGCATGGGGAACTATTCCACTTTCTGTAATATGCAGAATTCTTTATCGATTTTAACCTCACCTCATTTTTATGCGACCAGTGAATCAATGAGATATCACGAAATAACCAAAGATTGAACCAGAGTAGAAATTACCATAGTATATTACCTGAAATATATTATGATCTATCTGGGACTTTCTTGATAGGTTTAATCTCTAATCATGTCATTGATGTATTCTAAATGTACAACCCCCATAATTTTAAGGCTGTGATTAAGATTCATAAAAACCTCTGCTTAAACAATAGCGCATATTGTATCATTGTTGAAATTTTTTTTCCCTTTTGAATTGCAGTATATCTTAAGTAAATCTAACTTCAAAATATACATGGTATGGATTCTTTGGCGATAGGATGAATGTCTTACTAAGTTTATCATTCGCGATTCAATTGAACTAAATTTGTATACTATAAATAAAATATTTAACATATGATACTGAGTATACTGAGCATTTTGCACTTTTACTAATATGTGCATTGTATTTTATACAGTAGTCACTCAAATTCGGTAAATTTTATTAAACAAAATATGCAATATGTATTTCATGGTCATTTTTTTTATACTGTCCCAAATGCTGTTATAAATGCTTTTCTTTAAATGCACCTGAACTTTTTATAATGCATGTTGACAAGGGTCAACTGATCGAAAATAGGGTGCCAGAATTCTGCGGTGCATAATTCTGCTCGCTCTAAAAATATTTTTTTGTAGTCTCCGTAAGAAAAATGTGACTTTAATCATTTTTAAAAACTAAATACAATACAAAAAGATATTTTTAGAGCGAGCAGAATTATGCACCGCAGAATTCTGGACGCTCTAATCGAAAAGACAGGGAAGTGGTCAGGGTCACATGCCACATGCTACGACCCTGCCCGAAAGAATATTAATACAACTACGTAACAGAAAAGCCACCGATCTCGATCAACATATAAGAAGCGACGAATAAATCACTATCAACATTCTTCTCTTTTCCCTTGCAACACAACCAAGCATTATAACCGTCATTTTCTCGACCCAACCCATCCTGCCATACATAGGAGTCTCCTGATTCTGCCATTTTCCTATTTAACAGCCGGCCTGCTTCGAGCAGGCGAGAAATCACCGCTGATGCTGCTTCTCACTCGTTCTACTGTTACGATGATACCTGGGCGCAATCTACTTGCTAATTTTCCCAGGAGCATATCATCGTTTCAGCTCAAATTACTCAGCTCAAATTACTCAGTTCAAATTACTCAGCTCAAATTGCTCAGTTCACTCACAATGTATTCTGCAGACTTAAAGTCCTTTAATTGAAATTTCTGGTACCTTTGGCTAGAGATCTGCACACGGGTCTAGTACCTGGTAGGTCTACTATTCTGGGGGGTCTTTTATATGGCCGTTTACAGTACTACGCAGATGAAAATATAGGGTTCCCCTTGAAATGCTCTATTATGCTACAGAACCATTTTTTTTAATATTAAATATTTAAGCAAAATTGGCTACAAAAAACTTTAGTGTAATAAAGAA